GGAGCGATGCCAAGGAGGCCCAGCGGCGATCTAAAACATCCGCACAAAACTCCCCGATGTCCTGTTTACGCCAGCATGTCCTCTCCTATTCTTTGTATTATTAGTCTGATTATTAGTATTAGCATTCGTATGATTATCATACTTATTATTACCATTGTTATTCTTCTGAGTGTGATTATTATCATCTATCGCACAATTATTATCTTCTTCGAGATACTGCCATCGCGCTACTATGGGAAACGCTGATGTTCTAAAGAGCGAAAAGGGCTTTTCTGGCCAAGGCGAACCTCGGCTTCGAACAGCTGCCCCGACCTGGAGCTGAAGACTGCCCTGAAAACCAGAGCCCCTATACTGAGCCCAAAGGGGTCTTCATCGGGGGGGGGCCAAAGCCGTGCGGCGACCTCGCCCCCCCTCCTCCCTACGCGCCGCCGGCAGAAGACGACAACGACGACGGTGACGACGACGACGACGACGACGAGGACGACGACGACGTTTGCCGGCGGCCAGGAGGGTGGGTGGAGGTCGGGACCCCCACCCTCCCCCTTTGTGCCAGAGGGGGGTTTGGGAGGGGGGCCACCGCACGGCTCTGGGACTCGGGCCTTCCTCTCCGAGGCCCCAAGGCCGTGCGGTGACGGACCGCGCGGTGAGGTCGCCGGGGACTGCTGGGTCACAGCACGGTCCGTCACTACACCTCTTTGTGGGGAGCCCACAAAGGAAGTACGCGCCCAACTATGAACATGAACACGGCCCCTCGATCCGCGAAACCGGCCGCGTTATACGCCCCCCACGATTTCTGAGGGGGAGGGTGGGGTTCACTCCGTTCGGGAGCTCCCGAGCGAAGTGAACCCCACCCTCCCCCTCAGAGATCGTGGGGGGTAGGGGTCGGGTTCGCATGTGGCCCCCTAGAGGTCCCGAGGCCAATGCGGTGACGGACCGCGGTGAGGTCGCTGGGGACTGCTGGGTCACAGCACGGTCCGTCCCTACACCTCTTCAGGGGCCCCAGGTGCCGCCCCCCCTCCTCGGGGGCGGCCTTCTCACGCCGCCCCGCGCCTGGGGCCTCCAGGGTCCCAATGACCGCGCGGAGACGGTCCGCGTGGTGAGGCCGCTGAGGACTCCGAGGACAGAGGCCTCCTGGATAGGGTCCGAGTCAACGGGGTCGGAGGATCGCGCCGCACCGGCGCGACGTCGACGATGCATCGGCGCCATCAGAGTGTCGAAAATCACGCTCCACATCAGGCCGCATCGTCGATGCAACGGCGATGTAGCGCGATCCTGCGACCCCACTCGGGCCCACTCTGAAAGGCCTGAAAAGAGGTCACGCGGCCCGTCACCACTTTTCACGCCGCAGCGCGGCAGAGGCAACCCACACGCACGCGAAGGCAGGCTGGGTGACGGCCTTGCGCATTGACCGGCAGCAGGGAGTGGGAAAAGCAAGGGAGGAGAGGCCGCGGGAGATGGGGAAACCAAAAGGTAGGGATACCGCTACTCCCAGGACCTCTTTCCGGGTGCGTTCTGACCAAGTTTCGACGCCCAGAAGGGCAAAACGGGCGACGAGTAGCGGTATCAGTACCTGTTCCTCCTCTGAGGAGACTGGGGAGAGGCTAGAACGCTCACGCGGCGGGGCCCGCTGCGGAGTGGCCTGGGCGACCAGCCAGTGCTGGGATTGGGTCGGTCGTGTCTCCCACAGGCGGGTTTTGAAGGAAAAATGAAACAGACTCAAACATATTCATACATAGTCGCGAAGATAGTCGAAAAAACGTCCCCATACGATGTTCTACTATTCTGGAATATTCCTCCTACTGCAACGCAGGTCATCGCAAACCCGGGTCAGCCAACATGCGCGGCCGCCTCGCGGCCACGAGCGGCTCGCTAACCCGGGCCAGCCAGGGGGGGTCTTCGCAGGATCCTGCAGGATCCGGTGCCCTGGCTGACCCCCGTTTGCACTGACCCCCGTCTCTGGAGCCCCGACGCCCCCGCGCCGCCGGATCCCCGGGGGAGCAGCGGCTCCTGTCCGCTCCTGCAGCCACCCGGCCTCCAGAACCACGCGCACGGCTCACACCTGCGCGTGCCGAGCCGTCGCTCGGACATCAGTTCCCTGGGCGTTTCTCGGCCTCGGGCGCGCTTGCTTCGCAGCAGGATCCAAGACATGCTCCTCGATGGCCCGCCGGGGAACGATGCACACGCCCGATCGATGCCAAGAGGGGGCCTGCGCGGGGGAGAGGGGGCTGCGCAGGCACCGGGGGGCTGCGCCGCGGGGTGGAGGGAGCGGGACGGTCAGGGGAGGGGCGAGGGGGGAGGGTGGGCTAGAGGTTCTGAGGTCCTGGCTCAGGGGGCGAGGGGCGAGGTCAGGGCGGGGCGCGGGGGGAGGGAGGGGGGACTGGCTCAGATATGTCGCCGAGCTGGAATCGGCGATACATCGCCGACAACCGCCACCTCCGTGCCTCGAGGCACGAAGTGGAGTGCCCCCCAGGTCAGCGAAAAATCTTTGTACTCTGCGTTCAGCAATGTGATCCCAGCAACCCTTTAGGGCTTGAGTGGTTTGGAGCGCTTCCGCTTCCAACCCCTCTTCCTCCCCTTCGGGGATGGGTGTATACATGTTCCCAACAAGGTGACACCCCCTCCACCAGGCGACCAGCAGCCAACTAGAACCTCCTCCTCCCTCATCATCAACCTCGTCCTCCTCCTTCTCCTCTTCTCCTCCTCATCCTTCTCCTTCCTCCTCCTCCTCCTCCTCCTCCTCCTCCTACTCCTCCACCTCCCCCCCCCTCCTCCCGCTCCTCCTCCCCTCCTCCTCACTTCCCTCCTCCGCCTCCGCCTTCCTCCGCCGCTCCTCCTCCAACTCCTCCTCCTCCTCCTCCTCCCCTCTTTCTCCTCCTCCTCCGCCTCCGCCTCCTCCTCCTCCTCTTCCTCATCAGCATCAGCACCAGCATCAGCACCAGCATTACCATCATCATCATCATCATCATCATCATCATCATCATCATCATCATCATCATCATCATCATCATCATCATCATCATCAGCATCATCATCACCAGCATCATCATCAGCATCATCATCATCATCAGCAGCATCCTCATCCTCATCCTCATCCTCATCCTCATCCTCACCATCACCATCACCATCACCATCACCACCACCACCACCATCACCAGCATCAGCATCAGCATCAGCATCAGCATCAGCATCAGCATCAGCATCAGCATCAGCATCAGCATCAGCACCAGCATTACCATCATCATCATCATCATCATCATCATCATCATCATCATCATCAGCATCATCATCACCAGCATCATCATCAGCATCATCATCATCATCAGCAGCCTCATCCTCATCCTCATCCTCATCCTCATCATCACCATCACCATCACCATCACCACCACCATCACCATCACCATCACCATCACCAGCATCAGCATCAGCATCAGCATCAGCATCAGCATCAGCATCAGCATCCGCATCAGCATCAGCATCAGCATCAGCATCAGCATCATCATCATCATCATCATCATCATCATCATCATCATCATCATCATCATCATCAATGCACCCTCTTCCCTCCTCCCTCCTCCCTCCTCCCTCCTCCTCCCCACTCCTCAACCCCACTCCTCCATCTCCTCCTCACTCCTCATCTCCAACCCCACTCCTCCATCTCCCTCCCCCCCTCCTCATCCTCCTCCTCCTCCTCGTCCTCCTCCTCGTCCCCCTCCCCCTCCTCCCCCTCCTCCTCCTCCTCCTCATCATCATCATCATCATCATCAGCATCGTCATCATCATCGTCATCATCATCATCAGCAGCATCATCACTATGATCATCATCATCATCATCATCACCACCATCGGCGTCAGCATCATCATCATCACCAGCATCCTCATCATCACCATCGTCATCACCAGCATCATCAACACAAGCATCATCATTATCAGCATCATCGTCATCATAAGCAGCATCAGCATCCTAATAATCATCACCATCAGCATCATTAACATCAGCATCATTATCAACAACGACATCAACATCAGCAGCATCAGGGTCACCATCAGCATCATCATCGCGATCAGCATCACCATCACCCTCAGCATCATCACCCATAGCATCATCATCACCATCAACACCATCATCGTGATCATCGTCATTACCTCCACCGCCACCACCATCATCATCGTCAGCATTACCATCATCCGCATCATCATCATCATCATCATCATCATCATCATCATCATCATCATCATCATCATCATCGTCACCATCATCATCATCATCATAACAGTGAGTTTCATCTTCATCGTCATCATCAACGGCCGCATCATCGGCATCATCAGCATCATCGGCATCATAATACAATTAACAATACTCGTCAGCAGCACCACCATCATCATCATCATCGACGTCATCGTTATCGTCATCATTATCGTCGTCATCAGCATCAGCATCAGCATCATCATCATCATCATCGTCATCATCATCATCATCATCGTCGTCGTCAACAGCGCCATCAGCATTATCGTCACCAGCAGCAGCATCCTCAGCATCGTCAGCAGCACCATCAGCATCATCGTCATCATCATCAGCACCATCAGCACCATCAACACCGTCAGCATCGTCGTCCGCACCAGAAGCATCATTACTATCAGCATCGTCATGGTCATGATCAGCATCATCATCATCATCAGCATCATCATCAGCATCGCCATCATCATCGTCACCATCATCATAAACATCATCAGCATCATCATCAGCAGCATCCTCGTCATCAGCATCAGCATCATCATCATCAGCATCATCATCATCAACATCTTCATCCTCCTCATCTGTTTCCGTACAAGTAGCTCCTCCCTGTCGCACCCCGAGCCAGTGTTTCGGGCGGCTCGGGCGTTTCGTCTGAGACTTCCTCGTCATTCATGAGGGCGGGTCGTTGTAAAAAAGTGGATCTCGCCTTAGCGCAGCGCACATTCATTCCAAAAACCTGCAAGAATTTCAGGAATCAAGGGCGGGTAATTGCAAAATGTGGCTCTCGCCCCAGCGCCGCGCACATTCGTTCTAAAAAGTTGCAAAAGCTTCACGGATTGAATCCGGTTCTGTTCAACATGTGGCTCTCGCCTTAGCGCTGCGCATATTCGTTGTAGAAAATTGCAAAAAGTTTTCCGGATTCCCACGATGAACGCAAAAATGGTATGTTGGAAGGAGTCAGGGTTATGAGGGCGCAACACTTACCTTGATTTGCGAGGTTGCAGTCCCGGGAATGACGTTTGGCACGAATCAGCATCGTCAAGACGCAACAGTCAGGTTGATCCGTGGCGATGGAACCCCTGGAACACTGTGTTGGCATGTTTCAAGGTCTTTACTCGCTTGTCTTCCAACGAGGCAGTTCCCTCAGTGGAAATGGACAGTTGTGGGAAGCCCGTGAAGAGGGAGCTTGGAGGGAGGGTTAATTCTAACATCGTTGATGGCTATTGGGTTTACACTAGTCTTCCTCCTCCTCGTCCTCTCCCTCCTCCTCGGCCTCATCCCCCTCTCCCTCCTCTCTCCGCCCTCCTCCCTCCTCCCTCCTCCCTCCGCCCTCCTCCCTCCTCCATGCTCCCTCCTCCCTCCTCCCTCCTTCATCCTCCCTCCTCCCTCTTCCCTCCGCCCTTCTCCCTCCTCCCTCTTCCCTCCGCCCTCCCTCCCTCCTCCCTCCTCATTCCTCCTTCCCTTCTCCCTCCTCCCTCCCCCTTTCCTCCCTCCCTCCCTCCCTCCCTCACTACTCCCCTACTCCCCTCCGCCCTTACCCCTCATCTCGCCTCCCTTCTTTTCTCTCCTCCATCCTCCATCCTCCCTCCTCCTTCCTCCCTGCTCTCTTCTTCCTCCTCCCTCCTCACTCCTCCCGCTTCCCTCCTCCCTTCTCCCTCATCCTTCCCTCCCTGCCTCTACCCTCCAAATTCCTCCTCCCTCCTCCCTCATCCCTCTCCCTCATCCTCCTACCCCTTCCTCCTCCTCCCTCCCCCCTCCCCCTCTCCTCCCCCCCTCCATCCCCCCCACCCACCCTCACCGCAACACCAGCTGCTTCTTCTCGCTCCTCCTCCTCCTCCTCCTCCTCCTCCTCCTCCTCCTCCGCTTCCTCCTCCTGTTCCTCGTCCTCCTCGTCATCCTCCTCGTCCTCCTTCTCCTCCTCTTCCTCCTCCTCATCGTCCTCATGCCCCCAGGGCAAGAACCTGGCGAGGGGGGGCTCGACCAGGGCCCTGGGGTGCACTAAAATCCCCCCCACCTTGCCTGGGGGGGGGGGTTGGCGGGGGTTGGGCGGTGGCCGCTTCCTCTCTCCCTCGCTCCTTGGCTCCCCCCCTCGGCTGCCGGCTCTCCTTCCCTTGCCTTTGCCTCTCTCTCCCGGCTTGCTCTCCCTGGGGGGGGGGGGCCTCGTGTGGGGCGGGCTCGGGCTCCCCCCCGCGTCCAGGTCCCTCCTGGCGCGGGGTCCCTGTGCGCGTCCCATGTGGGGTTCCTCCTCCTCCTGGGGGCCCCCCTCTCCCCGGCTCCTCCCTCGCTTCGGGCCATCGTCCATTCCCCGTCACACCCCCCCCGCTGGCGGGTGGTTCGGGCTGCTAGGCGGGGATGGGCTCCCGCCAGGCCCAGTGGCGCACGTGCGCCTTTTTTTTTACTGACGCCGAAGCTTGGAGGGACTCGCTTTTGAGAGAACGGCCTCGGCGGGGCGCAGACGAGGGACTCGCTTCTGAGTGAACTTTGCGCTTTGATGACAGGAGCCGTGGCTTGGAGGGACCCGTTTTTGGGTGAACAGCCGCGGCGGGGCGTAGACATGGTACTCGCCTCACCGGTTTTGCGATTTGTGGAATTTTTAATATCCCTGGGCCTCTGGTTTTGCTCGCAGTGCGGGTATTATGCCAGTAGTGCCATCAGGTGCTTGGGTCAAGAATGTCTCAGGCGAACGAATGCGAATCGAGCTGAGTATTTAAATCGGATCGAAAGCGATCGATGGCCAAAGGCTTTAAGCAAGGCCGTGAAGCTCGCTCGTAAGCGCTCGTAGGTTCGTTTCGACTCGCATCGCGACTGTTCTCACTCACTCACTC